TGGTTTTTCAAAATCATCATGGATAAGCTTTTGGGCACTGTTGCCAGATACCATCAATTTCATAAATTTTTAACAGATTTCATTCTTGCTTCAAGGAATGAACTTCTTGATGGATGTTTTTTTTTTTTTTGAAAATGAAAGTAAAACGATTTCACACAATGTATGTATGGCCAGGATTACTCAATTTGAAAAGGATCACGTCGCCATTATGAATGCCATTTTTGGGGCCTGATCATACGATGTGAGATTATCCAAGGAGAGGCTTTACGATCATCAGAGATAGATTTTTCAGTTTCTCTGCTCAGAAAAAACGCGCCCACACCAATTGCATAATTTGGTATTAAAAAAAACCTGACGAGATCAAGTAGCTGAAAACGGAGGTTTTGGCTAGGTTTAAACAGTGAGGTTCCGTCCATCACATCCATTCTGAATGACAAAAGAACAACATAGATTGTCCACTATTTTACTTCTGCTTAATGCCGAATGAATCTCATCACTAGTGAAGCCTCGCTCGATGTGATTTCAACAGGCAGGAAAATGTAAGTATCCAATTGTCAAATATACACATTGTTCATCAATATCAACACATTTAAAAGTCCAGCAGTCCCGAATTATATGGTAGAGGAGAAAATGATAGACAAAAGGAATGAAGTGGACACAGCGATTTGTTCCTGAAAGGCGGATTGCTCCCTTGATGTTTTCCAAAAACTTTCAAAAATTAGGAGCGCTTTTTTTGGAATGTAGTAAGTATATATGCAAATGGGTGTATGAGATGAAAAGAAATTATTGGGGAGGAGTTTTAGATTTTGGACGCGGGGCTGGGGTATGCAAGGTCTTGCAAGGAGCACCTCGGAGAGTTTCATCGCCATGCAAGTGCTGGTCTTCTGAGAAAGAGATGGCACTAGTTGAGAAAGCGTTTTCAGGGAGACCTTTAGGAGCGGGGCCGTTTGTTGATAATGAGTCTGTCGATAGAAGGCTGGTCTCGAGGGGAGTATTTGATACGGATAAAGTTGTGAGACTCTCGGTCTTGATGGCGGGAAGAAGCGTGCCCGACTCCTTGTCTCTGATGGTCTTAGTGGAATTATAGATGTCAACATCTCGAGCGTACGAGCCACCTTTCCCATCCTTGTAAGTGAACGACTGGATCGTTCTTCCGAGCCCACTCAGCGCTCGGCCCTTCTGGTCTACCACCAGCTCGCCCGCTGCGTCTTGCGTGGTCTCAATCGCAATCTTTCCCAAACTGGAGGAGAAGGGGAAGACTTGGGAGCGACTGTATTTATGGTTCAGGTGTCCGACAATCTTCGTTGCGGACGGGACGGCTAAGGCGGAGAGGGTCAGGTTGAATGGATAGCGGAAGTTGTCGATCTTTTCTGCCGTATCACCATGGGTGGAAATGCTGTTACCTTGACTGGTCATTACAATCGACTATCAGAACGTTCAGAAGAAGTTTTAGCCGTTAATAAATGGAGATCTTGTGTGCACGAATTTGAGATCAAGAGAATCACTGACTTGGTAAGCTGTATCAGCCGCCCAGGTCTGTTGATTAACAAAAGTCATGTCTTGTTCGACTTTGACGATTTTGAGTTCGCCGGTACCCGTGACGACACTACTAGAAATGGAGAGTTGTCTGAAGCTGCGGGTAGTGAAGCTAGTCAATGACTTGGGATCGAGGTTGGGGGGGATTCGGATGTCCTTGGGCACTTCGACCGTCGTCTTGGAGTCCGTAAAATGGGTAAGAATACTGCCGGTGGTGCGGGTGGCACTGGGATCCAAGCCGACAAAAACGGCGGCGCTGAAGACCCAATCCTCATTGATCGACCCATTTTCCCCCTGTCCTACCACCCGCAAGGTAAAGTTGTGCGGTTTCGAGTCCGCCAGCAGCGGGACAAAGGGGGAAATGTCGAGGACGTATGTGGGCGCGTCGAAAGCTCCGATTGCAGCGATTGGTCTTTAGGGAACGAGAAGAGTGAGACTCGGGTAAGAACAAGATTGTTTCCAAAGCCCGTAACACGCTCACCTCCACCATGCCAAGAGAATCCCACCCGTATATATAACTGGGAATGGATAGGCAACCCCTGCGAGACGGTGATCTAAAGCCCGGTCCGATATAGAGTATCAGCTGAATGATGCTTGAAAATATCTGAACTTGGACAGGTTCATTTACCAATCCAAACCTGGACTTCTCGGAATGAACCCTTCCCGGTCACAGTGCCAGCATTGGTTGGATCAAGCTTCGACCGGTAGACGTCTGGCACATTGGTATACTAAAAAGATCCTATATTAACATGATGGATGAGAAGTTTATCTATCTTGAATCGAGAAAAGCTCACCCAAAACTGTGAATTGAAAATGTTCAAGAATGTTGGATCACTGAGCAAGGCTTGGACGCGTTTAAAAGTGGAAATTGGAAACAATGATCATTATGCATACCTCTTCTTTGCCACGCCCACTAGCAAACAACTCCAAGTATGCCGTCGCGATATTCTGATTGAAGAGCAAGGGGAAAGGATGAGCCTCTGCTTGTCAGTGCATCTCAAAATTCGAGTAGTCTCACCTGAGGGAAGCTCATAAAACTAGTCATGTTGTTACCCGAGCCATGACCCATGTTGAGGATTCGGTCTGCTTGCTTGGCTGCGGGGAACTCTAGAGAGGGAGGATAGAACTTGGCAGACAGCGTGACTTCGAAGCTGCCAGTCAAGTCCAGCGACTGGTCGACTGTGTTCCCGATGTCCAAGGAGAACGAAGCAGGACCAGATAACAGTGGGATGTATTTCGTCATGTCCCGGGTCCTGCAGAAAAAAAAAAGTTAATATGAGCACTTCTTGTGTTTCTCTTGGCTTGAGCCTGGGAGCCTTACACTGTCCATACTATTCCCTCTTTCGTAGGTTCGGCTGCGGGTATGGGTATCATTTGTTAGTATCACAGAGCTTTTGATCAGATAATTTAAAAACAATATAAATCAGCCTGTTGATGTCCTCCCAACTAGGTAAAACCGGGGTTTTTTTTTGTGGGAGTCAGTCCGTGTCGCGTAAACAGACGTGCCAATACGTAGACAACTTACTGTCTATGTCATTTAGATAAAGCATCTAAAGAAGTAACAGCATCGCCAGAGATTATCAGGATCCGGACAAACAAATTTAACATAGTTGGGGTTTTCAGATCATCTGGATGTATGCTTACCCCGACTCTATCATATTGTGTGCCGATTGAAGCTGATGAAGCAGAAAAAAGAGAATGTAAGTGTTTATTATTTTATTTTATTAAATTTTTGGTCGAACTTGGCCGGATACGAAGTGTATTTAAATGACGGTTTTTCTTTGACAATCAAGGGACTCAACTAGCAGTCAAATTGAAGATTACGGATGCCCAACTACCGGGTCGACCGCACTTTTTAGGTGGAGTAAAACTAGCATTTGCGGGCTTTCCCCACGAAGTGACGAAAGTCTGGAGGGACGACCGATGAGTCAGTCCGACGCCGCTTTGATCAATTCCAGACCAACAAAGAAACCGGCTATGATTCGGGAGTGAAAGGCACAGAAGGGAAAGCGGAAGTGGACTCACATGTTCGACGATCGCCACTTCACAAGGCTGGCTTTTAGGCACTGAAGGGGGCTAATACACGAAAGCGATCCCAACCGACATCAAGATCACTGGTTAATTTCACGACGCGGTCGCGGTGGGACACGGTTCAGAGATGCTTGCGGAATCGGCTCACCTCCCGGACCTCAAAGTTGCGCAGCGGATTCGGCCGATGGACGGCTTGACGAGCATGCAATTGCTTCGACGAGCTTTGAAGGCTGGTGCCGTGGACAAGGTCGGAGGCGCTTAGCAAGGCCCATAGGGCAATCCATGGGAGTGAAATTCTGAACATGCGTGTGTGTGTGGGGGGGGGGGGGGGTTATTGGACTATTATGACTAGGATTAAAGATCGATGGTGGTAAGGTGGGGTATATTTCATGGACAGGAAAGGACAAACAGACGTGGAAGTGAAAACAAACTGCTGAACAACAACTCCAGACTAGAGCTCGTTGCTCCGCCTTGAAGAAATCAAGAAGAAATCAAGGTACAGGAATATGATCAAGAAAGCTCGCGAAGAAAAAAAAAAAAGAGGATGTAGTAATGGTTACAGGCTACAGCCACGCGAGAGCGAGGTATAATAAGGATGTATGTGTTTGTATTCGTTCAAAATACGTGCCAGCGTACAGATTCGAATATTAAGCGAAATGCGGAGGCTACATGGTAGGTTAAGTCGTTGTTGTATCCACCGAGTTGTACAACGTACAATTGGCGAGCTTGGGCATGTAAATATTTTACTATTTACCAACCCGGCCAATGGGCAAACCATCCAGTTGTGTGGATTGGTCATGAAGGAAGGTGAATTTAAAGAGTGCTTGGCAATGGCGCATCAGCTGCCTTAAAGATTGTTGGGTCAGGGTGCATGGTGGGACTCTCGCTTGAGTGCGCCCCCCCCTGTGCTGTAATGTATTCAGGAATCAAATGACAAAGACGGATGTCGAAAGCTGCAGAACCGGAACGAAACGCGTTGGTTAGAAAGCGAGGTTCCTGTGAAGGAAGTCCTCCAGCGCACAATCAGAGACATCTTGGATGCGGTCTCCAATTTCAGACCAGTTGAGGACGAGGTTTCTGTAGTGCCTCTTTGTAAATTTCATCGCTTCCTGGCTTTTCCTACGAGAGGAAATCCATCGAAATCTGCACATCAAGGGGAGTCGGATGACACTGCAGAGATCATACAGCGTTTTGAAAGTATTCCCCAGGTGGCTGGTGGTTCCTGAGTGCTACAGCATGGTATAGCTCAGACAAAAAAAAGATAACATAACAAGTTGGAACTTGGTAAAGTTCTTTTTGTAGAGGAGTGCGGATGCTCTAAATGAGGGTGCTGTGTATATGCTTGTGGCGGGTGTGGTCCTACTAAGACTTGAAAGAGGAAGAGTGTCAGAACCCATCCAAGACTCAACCAGCAAACAGCACACAACAAAAACATGAACGTCATCCATCGCCAGCATCTCCCGCCATCAGGGGTAGAATTCTCTTGCCAAGCCTCGCTGACCCCATCGACCCTACCGCGCTATTCGGAGCTGATCCGATCATCCAAGACTCGACCAAGACCCATCACCAATCTGATTGTTGCTCGTTCGACCCTACTCCAAGTCTTCGAGCTGTGTCTGGTTGAGGATGATCAGGCTGAAAATAACCACACAAGGAATCATCACGAGCTGAAGAACAAGAATTATAAACTGTTCCATCTCTGCGAACACAGGTTGCATGGCAGAGTCACTGGCCTACAACGGCTCACCACACTCGATACCCAGGAGGATGGCTTGGATCGACTGCTAGTCAGCTTCCAGGATGCCAAGGTGAGTGGGTATTCGTTTTGTCAAGCTTCAGTTTTCTTTTTTTTTTTTGAAATCAGAGCTGATAATTTTACATTTCTGTTTGTGGTGAGCCAGATGACATTACTGGAGTGGTCCAATTCCGCCGCCGATTTGGTGCCCATCTCGCTACATACGTTCGAGAAGCTGCCACAGATCACTCAAGGCGATCTGCCGAGGGACTTCCAAGGCCAACTGGAGGTCGACCCACTCTCGCGATGTGCCGTGCTCCTACTACCCCAAGCCACCTTAGCCGTCCTGCCCTTCTTCCAGGATCAATTGGACCTCGACAGTCTGGGACTCAGCGGCGGACTCAAGAGCGCCCTGGGATCCGAACAACAACGCTTCCAGACATTCCCCTACGCCAGCTCATTCATCCTCGACTTCAATCAACAGCTCCTCAACCATCTCCCCCCCTCGTCCCTCGACTCTCAACACCGGCCCATCAAATCCGTCATCGCCCTCAAGTTCCTCCCCGGATTCAGCGAGCCCACTCTCGCGGTCTTGTATCAATCCCAATACACCTGGTCAGCCAGACTCGAAAATCATGCAAATACCGCCGCCCTCATCGTCCTCACTCTCGACTTAGGCTCCAACCATTTCCCCATCATCTCTCATACCACAAACTTACCCTACGATGCACATGGCTTGGTGGCCTGTCCCAAGGAACTCGCTGGAGTACTCGTGCTGTGCGCCGATATGATATTACACGTCGATCAGAGTAGCAAGATCATCGGACTGGCCACCAATGGCTGGGTCAAACACACCTCTGAGCTGCAGATTCCGCGCCAGGATACCGTCAGATTGATCACCCCAACCAACAAGATCAGCGGACATCGATCAACAACCAACAAGTCAGATGAACGGCCAGAGGATCTAGAGGATGGAGAGGAACAGGACGAGAGCGGTGTGCCAGAGGGCCACGAGAAACTGCTGGTTCGGCTCGAGAACGCCAAGATCGTTTTCAGCAGAGCCGACCGGGCCTTCGTCTTCCTGCGGACAGGCGAGGTCTTCAGCCTCCAGTTCCTACGCGATGGACGGACGTTGACCAAGCTGGTCTTGGAGAAACTCGACCTCCTCTCAATCATCCCGTCCACCGTCCTCAAAGTTAACAATGAGTGTCTCTTCGTCGGCTCCATGGCCGGCGATTCGGCGCTCTATATCCTCGATCACCTTCGCCCTCGCTCCTCTTCTGACGACGACAACGACGATGGTCATCAGCTTCCCTCGAGTTCAATCATCCAACCCGACAAAGCTGCCAAGAATCAGTCGAGCCTCGACTTTGATGAGGGTACGAACTCTTGTCTCAGTTACTTCAAAGATCTACATGGACAGATACCTCAAGTTTTCCTACAAAAAAAAACCTTCTTGATTCCTGCGGAGAATATTTTTAAAGGGGAGGGGAAGGGCCTATCGATCTGACTGAACACGATGTTTTTGATTCCGCACTGTGGGATAGATATATACGGCGACCGAACGGAGACGGACCCGGTCCGACGGACGGACCATTCGCAGTTGTACGATGACCGTCCGTCCAACGGGGCGGATGATGGGAGGCCCGGCGCTGGCGCGCATTTGGCAGAGCCCTTCTTGCGACTTGGCGACGTCATTCAGGCGCATGGACCTATTCGCGACTTCACTATGGCTGCAACTGGGGTCGAAAATGTCAGATCCCTCTAGATCTCTCTGATTCGCACTGGTTTTTCTCACTGTAAATATCACTTGTTTCGTAGATGCCGCTCGAACTGCTCGCTTGTACGGGAACTGGTGATTTGGGAGGATTGACAGTCTTTCATGTCAGTGCAACTCAACGCATCTTTTGTTTGTTTGTTGACGATGATGGGGCTGATTATTCTGCGGCTTTCAGAGAGAAATACCGCTACGGAAGAGGCGCAAATTGAGCTTCGAGAGTCCATCGGCTTCCCATATCAATGCACTTTTCTTCACCTCGCTTGTGGTGGAAAGTGGTGGGTTATCGGAGGAAAGAAAGGTGGTTTGGATGGGCCGATCGGGGCCCCGGACTGAGGTGCGCCAGTCCACACCTTTCAATTAATTTTTTTTTTGTGATTTTTTTCTTTTCTTTTTCACTAAAGGAGTAACTTAAATGTTAACCTGTTCAAGTTCATTTCGGGCCCTTTGATATAGATAGCAACGTATGGAGAGTCTGGAGAGCTTTCGCTTATCAACACTTTCCCTGAAAAAACACTCGCTGTTTCGCCATTCTTTGGGAAACAATTTGTGGTGCAAGTTACAAATACTGCCATCAAATTATTCACATCTTGTGAGGCCTGTTCTAATCCCTGAAGGATGTCCAGGATTGTTCGACTGATAATCAACTCAAAATCTTAGCTCTGGAGGAAGCGCAAGTGATTCAACCCGAACCGGCCGTCAAAATCTTGCGTGCCAGCATCGTGGACGATTACGTGATGTTGGAAACTCACTGTGGCTTGAAGCTGATTTATCAAGGGGACCATGACTCCAAAACTCTGAGCAAGTTGCCATTTCCATCAGATGTGAGTGACACGTTAGCCCGGACGGCTTTGGAAAAAAAAAAAAAACTATCCGATGTCTTTAATCATTTTAAATTTCATGCCCATCGTCGACAACCTAGACTGACGAAATCGAGACTGCGAGTCTTTTGAAAGCCGCGTTACCCATCTACACCTTCAAGCATGCCGCCAATCATCAGTTTTTTACGAAGCGGAAAGCTGGTAATGAAGACGACGATCTGTATAATAACGGCCCAACTGACGCCAACGGCGATGTCGAAATGAACAACAATGACGCAAACGATCAGGAGCCCCACAAGCCACAGAATCCAGACGTCTGCGGCGATGCTTGTTGGCTCCTTACTACGACTAAAAATGGATGTTTCCATGTGCGAACAAAAAAAACCCTCGTTCACTTTTTTTTATATGTTACCAGTTATTGACTTTGGTGTTTACTTGATTCTGATGTTTCTAAAAAAAGATTCGAAGTTTGCCGACACTGGCAATTGTGTTCACAGCAACGAGGCTTGATCTGTTGCCTGAAACGATGGCTGAGGAGGATAAGCTCGAGGGCGATGCTCAGCCGGTGGAGCTTTTTGGATTGGTCGACCAGGCTGCTCCGGTGGAGCCGATTGCGCATATCTTTGGCTTCCTCACCGGCGCCATCGCGTCCCGGCCTCATCTTGCTGTAAGGATTCGACTATACACGTCTCAACTGTTGCTCTGAGTCAATGTCGGCTGACTTGTTTTCTTTTCTATTGTTTTCCTGATGTGATTGATTGATGTTCATGTCGGGTTCAGGTGATGCTCAAAAATGGCGCATTGGCGGTCTACGAAATCCTCTGCTCGTTCACGATTCCCTTGCGACTGTCCGAAAAGGATGGCCATCCTGCAGTCTTGCTCAAAAAAGTAATCGGCCGTCAATTCGAGGCTGTCGAAAATGTGGACGAAGTGTCTGGTGTTGAATCTGAGGACCATGAGATGGGACGGACCACCGAGATCGACGAGCAAATCAGTCCTCAATCCAGGAGCTTTACATCCATACAGATGGACGGAAAGTTCAAGGGGGTTTATCTAGCGGGTCAGCCGCCGGTGTGGTTATTATCGACTGACCATGGACCGTGTCGGATCTATGACTCTCCGGATGAGAAGACTATCCATGGTATCGCCCAGCTCCCTGACGGCTTTCTGATGTCTCTGAGCGAGGCCTCCGTCCAAGATGAGGAGCCGTCTCAGGCCTGCGACCCTGCATCGCTCTGGGAGACCTACATATCGGAATACGTCTGCTTGGACCGCGAAATCCCGTCCACACTCGTCAAAACCGGCCGGCCATTCAATAAGGTCTTCTACGACTCCGCATCTGAAACGGTCGTTGGGGCCTCCTATCTCGAAACCGCTTTCGCTAACTTCGACGAGGAGGGCAATCTTATGTGGCAGCCTGATGGTTGGTGGTTGCTTGTTTTTGTGGGGATCTTGCAGTCAAGCAACGTGATCTGAATATTCGTTTGTGCTTGTAGACGACTCGTTGATCCGCGCGACCACGTTCAGAAGTTCGTTGGAATTGATCCTTCCTGGGAAATGGGTAACCATAGATGGGTACGAGTCCACTCATCTTTTCCATTCAATCGGTTTTTCTTCTTCTTCTTCTTTGTGTGGGTGTGTATGTTTCAAGTACTTGCTCACCTTGTCCCGTCACTTCTAGATACGAGTTCCAACAGAATGAGTGGGTGACGTCGATGGCCAATGTCGAGCTGGATTCGCGGAGCACGGTTTCTGGGCGTCGGCAGTTCGTTGGGGTCGGCACTACTTGTAACCGTGCCGAGGATCTTGCTGCCCGTGGTGGAGTCAGTTTCCACCCCCCCCCCCCTTCTTATATTACTCTTATCAATTTTTCATCTTCATATATGTGGTTGTGTGTCTCGGCCAATTTTACCCTGATCAATCTGATTGAATCCCCCCCAGATTTACGTCTTCGAAATTGTCGTCGTCAATCCGGCCCAGAATCATCGCACTTATAATCGCGCTTTGAGGCTCCGCTATTATGAGGAAACTAAAGCTTGCGTGACTGCCGTCGACGCGATTAATGGATATTTCCTTCATACTATGGGACAAAAGGTGATCACATTTTCCTTTTTTGTACTACAAATGTAGGATGTGTTGATGGATAAGCGAGTGCTAAAGATTCAAGACAACTTTCTTTTTTGGTCAGTTGTATGCGAAATGTTTCGAGCAGGATGAGAGACTGTTGGCGGTAGGCTTTCTGGACATCAAGCCTTATACGACGTGCATGCGAATTTTCAAGAACTTCATCTTGTTAGGAGATGCGGTGAAAGGGATCACGTTGGTAGCGTTCCAAGTGAGTCTTTCGCTCTCCTTAAACCCCCTTCCCCTTCCCCTTAATCATGTGCAATGCTGAGACATGGTAAAATATTATCTTCCACTTTTTGATCGGTAGGAAGAGCCGTATAAGTTGATCGAATTGGGCCACACTTACGTCGATCTGAAATGCTCGACAATCGATTTCTTGGTCATCGATGGGAAATTGGCTATCGTGGCCACCGATCTGAACGGGGTCATTCGGATCTTCGAATATAATCCAACCAGTTTGTTTCTGCTTCTTTTAATGGTCTTTTTCGGATCCTCAAAATGGGATTGATTGTCTGATGCTTTACCCCCGTTTTTTTCTTTTTGTTTAGATATTGAATCTCAGGGCGGTCAGAAGTTGCTCTGTCGATCCGAGTTTAATACCTCTAGTGAAATGACATGTTCGATGCAATTTGGAAAACGCCTTTCGGCGAAAGATGAAGCGAAAGTCATGGGCACCTTCTTCGGTAAGCCCTCTCTCTCCGTTTTTTTTTTTCCTTTTTTTTCTGTCGGTTGGCAAGACGTGGATTTGGCTGATCGTCTGGTCTTCCTTGTGCATTGTATTTGTTTTTTTAGCGAGTTTGGATGGCTCGATCAGCTCGTTAGTGCCCGCCAAAGAGGCGGTGTATAAGCGTCTGCAACTAGTCCAAACCCGACTCACCAGACACATCCAACATTTTGCGGGCTTGAATCCCAAAGGACACAGGTATCTTGAACGGTCTCTCTCTCTTATTGTCGAGATGTGTGTAGGTGGCTAATCATGTCTTGTACATGCTTCTGGAATATCTAGGACGGTCAGAAACGATCTCGTCTCTAGGGCTATCAATCGCGGCATCTTGGACGGCGAGTTGCTCATCAAATTCCACCTCCTCTCCGTCACTCAACAGGCCGAAATCGCCGGGCTTGCTGGCTCGGATCGCGAAACCGTCTTGGTCAATCTTCTCAACTTGAGAGGCTTGTGGTAACTTCTCTTGTTTTTTTTTGCCCCTCTTTGCTTTTCCATTATTTATTTATTTTTTCTTAATCACTGTGGTCTTCTTGCTCTCTTTTTTATCATTGTATTTGGGAACTTGGTTTTTTTTGGGTTTTTTTGGTTTTGTCTTTGGTCTCCTTTTTGAAGATTAAATTCGCACCGAACGTGGTCCGTTTGTAATTTGATGCTGTATCTATGTACATAGCTCCTCTCTAAATCTAATCCGAACATCTTGATCACGACTGTTTTACACATGGATGATATCAGTATGCAACCAGATGGTGAGATCTGGACCGCTACATACAAGCTTTGGCACAAGAGCTGCTCAGCTTCATTTTACCTCAAAAACCAATCAAATCATGAAGGAGCTAGATCCATCCCAATGTTTTCGGTCAGTCTTTTTCTAGCCTCTTGTAGTCTCGCATCTTCTTTTCTGATGTCTATCCTTACGGATATGTACAAATATGGTGAGCGCAAGCTTCGAGGTATCCACGCAAGTCCCGGCTGTCTTGGCAAAAATTTTCACACTTCTTGGATCCCCCGGGACGCTCTCCAAACTCCCCTATGTGGGAGGGGCAGCTTCGTCGCCAGTGCCTGGGTCAGACAGGCTGCCTTCCAGTACATATGTCAAGGTCTCTGGCTCAGTTCACAATCAAGTCATCCTCGTCCTGCTAAGTAGATTGGCGTTGGTGGAACTCAAAGCCATTCATCATTGTCCTTATTGTTCCAAGCGTTATGTAAAACTGGCTCACTAGTTTCATTCCTTTTTGAAGAAACTCATTGTCTTTCTTTGAGAACCACGGGCAACATTAAAAAAACAAGAATCACAAAACATCTGGACAATCGTTTTATGGGGTTTGGTTCTCTCATGGGCTTGGATTAGGATAGATAATGGGGAAAAAAAAATAATTGCAGTTCAATTTAGGCCTTCTTGTTTTGTATTACTATTTGGGCTCCTGGGGTTGGGACAAGTTCCAAAAAAGTTTGGCGAGTGAGGTTAATGAAAGTCAATGAGCTGATTAGTCGGAAAAGAATAGCGCCCAGTAACTATTCACGCACCATCGTCAAGATCAGGTAGTACATCAATACGTCCGTCGTGGACTGCCTGCTTGTTTCAAGCTGATGATGAGCAGAAAAACTGGCTTCAATTCAGGATGCAAATTTGAAGTGTGTGAATGATCGGGTCAAGTTCAACTCACTGTTTGCTTGAGTGTGACATAATGGGATTTCGGTTCTGACTGAAAGCCCAAGGGTTTCATCAACTTTTGGAATGAATGAGAAGAAACGGGCGGACTGACGCTGGTCATGATCATCACAACACAACATTTTCCAAGTGCTTGGCGCCCCGGAGCCCGGTTTGCAGCCGTTTTCTGGTGAGTATGTAGAAGGGCACAAAGATCCTTGAGTTATGTAGCTGGAAATGGAGAGGCTGATGTTCTTTAGAGTGATAATTCTGTCTTGAGAGTAAGCTCCGCCAATCGCTGGGTAAGGTTCAAAATCCCTCAAGAATTGGATGAGTCGGATTTGGAATTGTGACTTTATTTCAGTTCGCAAATTCCTCCACCACCACTCAGCCCAGTACAGTCTAAAGTCAGGAATTCAGCTTTTCGGTTCCTCCCTGACAAGGGCGCGGTCAAATGAATAACTCCCTTACCTGGGGTGATGGGTTTGTATGGCAGGATAGAGAGGCGCCATAGAGGTGAAAAATTCAGAGGAAGAAACTTTTGAACCATAAACTACTCACGCCCTGTGCACAGATTGATAGTTCCAAGACACAGGATAAGGCTGCAAATCGCAAAGGTCTGCATGATGATCTGATTTCGATGTTGAGGATTTAAGCGGTCAAGTGGGTAGTCAAAGCCTACGTATTCTGAGGGAAGCGTCTGTTTGGTGGTTGTGGAACTCAAGCTGATGCCTGTTGGTGACAGGTTTTATATACTCAGCGGGTTGCTGAGCCACATATTGAGATTGATATGTAGGTGTGGCCAATTGAATTTGTAGGCTCAAAGGTTCTTGCTTGGGTCATGCGATGGCTGTCACAGTGGCAGACTGTGGCTATGGTTAACTGACGCCGGTTAAAATATCCTCCGGCGCTTGGCATCACACAGGCTCTTTGCAGACCGCTTTCCAATTCCTCAAAACAAAATCAACCCACATCAACGGCAGGGAACATCGGATTTGCATCGTGCAAATCATCTCATTCGAGAACTGGAACTTGAAATCAGCGTGTTTAGCCGGACTGTGCAATCAAATTCCACAATCCAATGCAACCTTTTTGTTTGTTGGAGGGTCATCATCCCCGCCAACCGAATGAGGTTTGTTTTTTCGGATTGGCCTGGGGAGATCGAGCCGGTTGGAACTTGGTACCCAAAAAACGCACGAGAACTTTGGGACGGGGACAAAAAAAACATGGCATCTCAATCCGTCTCCGAAAATAACTTGAACCGGGGTCAAAAATGCCAAACACAGTCGGATGAGTGAAATCCGGCTCCGACTAGCCTGACAAACGTCCCTCCAAGGATTTCTCGGACTTGATTTTTTATCAGCATGTTTATTCATCTTCATTACCTTGAACTCTTCAAGGGCCGCAACTCACATCTATTTCCAACTTCAGTTAATATTCTTATTCTGAGTCATCTACACGCCTCATGGAGCTTCTCATTGGCTCTCTGATGTCTATCCTTACAGATATGTTGAGCTGAAGGACCGTCGGATGGGTGAATGTGCCGTATGCTTCATATATCCGCCTCTCTGCTTCGAGGTGTGCAGGCGACCCGCCTCCATACCTTATCAATATTTTCAACACTTTTTGGATCCTGCGGGACGCTCTGAAAAACTCGCCTATGGGAGGGGCAGCTTCACCCCCAGCGCCAGTGGTCCAGACAGATAGGCAGCCTTCGACCCCGGGGAATTTGTGTCGAGGCAGTAATACACATGTAAGAGGTTTCTGGCTCAGTTGGCAATCAAGTCACCCTCGTCCTGCCAATCAGCTTGGCATCGGTGTTGTTGGAACTGGAAGCCATTCAACATTTATCTTACTAGTTCGGAATTTCTTTGAGAATCATGCAACTGGTTGTATCACTAGTTTTTTTTTTTTTTTGTATTTTAGAAACTCAATGAGCTTTTTTGAGAACCACAGGTAAAGAAAAACCACAAAACATCTCGACAATTATTTGGTTTGTTTCTCTCAGGGGCTTTGAACGAGATAGATAATAAAATAATTGCGGTTTAATTTATGAAGGCCTTTGTTTTGGGTAATCGGGTTCCTGGGGTTGGTCCAAGTTGCAAAACGTTTTTGGCCAGCGGGTCAAAGTCAATGAGCAAAGTCGCACAAGAATAGTGTACAAAAACTATTCACGCACCATGGCCTGAAAATCAACTTCGTGGACTTCCGACGTATCTCAAGCCTGATGATGAGAAGAAATTGCGTTCAATTCAGGATGCAAATTTTAAGTGTGGATGATCTGGTCGAGGTCAACTCACCATGCGGTTGACAGATTTTGGGGGGTTATAGGAGCACCCTGATTTTACTGAAAGACCAAGCGTTTTGTCAACTTGGTATGAATGAGAAGGAACCGGCACGCTTACATTGACGTTGAGAATTACAACATCTCGATTGAAAAGAAGGTGAAAACCCTGAATGGGGATCGCAAGGATTTTTTGCTAATGAGAAGGATACAAAGATCTAGTAAGCTTGACTTCGAGAGGCTGATGTACAAAAATCATTATTGTGTCATGAGGATATAAGGTCCACCAATCACTGGGTTCAAATCCACTAAGAAGTGGGTTAGGGAGATTTAGAACAATGATCATTTGAGTTCGAGAATTCCTCCACCACAACTTCACGTATTATACTCGCAAGTCAGAAATTTAGTTTTTCAGTTCCTCCCTGATAAAGGTGGGAAAGAAATATCTCCCTTACATAGGGGATACATTTGTAGGACAGGCTAGACAGGAGCCGCAGAGGTTAAAAACAAAGATGATAAAATTTGAGCCACAATGACTCACCCGGGCCTATTCCCTCTGACCCGGCGCACAGATTAATAGTTCCAAGGCACAGGATAAGGTTGCAAAGCCCAAAGGTCCGCATGATGATGATTTTGGTTTTTAGGAGTTAATTGGTCAATTGGGTAGTCAAAACCGATTCTGAGCGAAGATTTTTGAATTCTGGTGGTTGAGTGGTCCGAGTGGATGGCTTTTGTTGGCAGCTTTTATATTCAGTGGGTCGCTTGTGCACACTGAGTTCCACTGGAGATTGATAGGTGTGGCCAATTGAATTTGAAGGCTCAAAGATTTTCGCTTGGGTCTGCGATGGCTGTGACAGTGGCAGACTACATATTGCTATGGTAAACTAACGCCTATCCCCCACGCCACCGTCTGGTAATCATATCCTCCTGCGCTTGGAATCACTTAAGGTCTGTGGCCAATTTCCATGCCACCGATGTTCCATGCCCTCATGAAACATTCAACCCACATCACGACAGAGAACGGCGGATTCGAATCATACAACTCATTCATGCGAGAGCTTGAACTTGAAGTCGGCGGGCTTAGCTAGAATAAAAGCCCACAACTACCAACAATGAAAAGCATCCTTTCTATGTGAGGGTCATCATCCCCACACTCCGCCAACCAAATCACGGTTTTTGGATTGGCCTGGGGAGGTCGAGCCGGTTGGATGCCAAAAAATGCAATAATATTGTGATTCTGGCGAGGATTTCCGGCATAAGTCGTGCACGGGGAAATAAAAAGATTGATTCCGAGCGCCGGAGTCTTTTTCACGGGTCAAAAATCTCGAAAACATATTCTGCTGGGAAGGAAGGATACGCGCGCAGTCAGGTTAAAGGAATCAGGAGGGAAGAAATCAGGCTTCAAATCTCAGCACTGGATTGCAACCGGCCCTGATGGAAGTCCCTATAACGAGGTCCCGGATCGCAACCAAGCCTGACGGAAGTCAAGGAAATCTGTTTGTTCAACTTCAGTAACTTAAACCAATTAATTCCAAGGACCACAATTTACAATCCTATTTCAATATTCGGTTAAGCTTCTTATCTTGAGCGCACTTCAATCCTCTTGTAGCTCTTGCAGGTCTGTTGAGCGCAAACACCATTGAATGCGAGAATATCCTACATATCCGTCTCTTCGCTTGCAGGTGTGTACGCGACGCGCGTCTTACAACCTGATCAGGATTTTAACGAATTTTGGCTCCCGCGGGACGCTCTCCGTACTCGCTATGGGGGGGGGGGGCAGCTTTGCTGCCAGCGCCAGGGTCAATTTCTGGCTCAGTTCACAATAAATTCACTCTTGTCCGGCAAATTATTCTGGCTTTGATCTTGCTGGACCCAAAGCCATTTCGCTATTTATCTTACTAATCATCCGGAGTTTTTTTGGGCATTTCAGCAGCACTCGGGTCATTATGCTATCGCTATCGCTGACACTACTTTCCATTTTCAGAAACTCGATATCCTTCTTTGAATCATGAGTAAAAAGAAAAATCACAAAACATCTGTATAACATTTTGATGTTATGAAATATAATAAAATAATTGCAGGTGAATTCGGGAATTTGTCTGGAACTGTTTGGGATCCTGTGGTTCGCATAATTTAATCCCGGTCAGTGGGTCGATGAGAGAAAAGTCGTGATAAATAGCACCCAATATTATTCACGCACCATCCTCAAGTTCAACTTCGTGGACTACCGGCGTATTTCAAACCTAGTAAGAAGAAATTGCACTCAAATCAGGATGCAGATTTCAAGGGTGGATAAGTTTGACTTTAACTCACCGTGTGCTTGACAGATTTTGGGGGTTTTAGGTTGCACTTAGAGATCTCCTTTCTGACTGAAACCCCAGACATTTTGTCAACTTTTGAACGGATGGGAAGAAACGGGAAGACTCACTGTTGCCTCGCTCATCACAACACAGTGCCCGTATGTAAGGTGGCCACCCAAATTTAGGATCACAAGGACTTGCTGGTACTAAGGGTTCAAATATCCTGTTAGCTTGAAATCAAAAGGCTGATGTTTGAAGTGATAATCTTGTCTTGAGAGTAAGGTCCACCAATCTCTGGGTTTAATCCCTCAAGAATCGGATTAGTTGGATTTGGAACCATGCTTTTTTGAGTTTGCATAATAGCTCCACCACAACTCACCCTAATATACCCTCAAGTGAGACATTTCTCTTTTCAGTTCCTCCCTGATACTTAAGGGCGGGAAAGAATATCTCCCTTACACAGAGGAATCGATACATTTGTAGGACAGGATAGAGAGTAGCTGTAGAGGTTGAGGATGGAGATATTGAAACTTGAGCCACAATGACTCACAAATGTCTCTTGCTTGTAACCCCGCACACAGATTGATAGTTCCGAAAAACAGGATAAGGCTGCAAAGACCAAAGGTCCGCATGATGATGATTTTGGTTTTTAGGAGTTAATTGGTGATGTGGGTAGTCAAAGTCGATTGTGAGGGAAGCTTTCTTCTGGTGGTCGTGGGACTCCAGTTGATGCCTGGTGTTGTTAGCTTTTATATCAAGTGGATTGCTTGTGCAAAGTGGAGCTGAACTGAGGATTGAAATGGTGTGGCCAATTGAATTTATAGGCTCAATGGTTTCTGCTTCGGTCACACAATTGCTGTGAAAGTGGCAGGCAGTGGCTGAGGCTCATTGGTTTTTGCAAGAAAGAAAACGTCATGATCATTTTTACTCGTCAGCTGACGCCGCCGCCATTGCCGGGCCATCATATCCTCCGGCGCCCGGAAGGTCTTTGGCCCATTTCCGTTCCCCCATAAATCAATCAACCGACATCACGATAAGCCACGGCGCATTGTTCCACACGACTCAACTCATGCAAGAAAGTAAAAATATTTGGGTTCAGCCAGAATTTATATACAATCAAAGTTCACATAAAAGAAATGCTAAATGCCCTTTGCACCTTGTTGTACGGGGGACATCATCTTCACAATCCGCCAAACCCAATCAAGGTCTTGGAATTGGCCTGGGGAGATTGGACTTGTGGTTTGATTTCGAAAAGTTGAGTGAGAGTGATTGGCAGTGAAAAGACCATAGATATTGTGATTTTTGCAAGCATTTCTAGGGATGAGCCCTGGATGGGGGCAAATATCCTGGATCTCACCTGTGATTTTTCTGTCCGTGACCCATTTCCATTGCCTCATGACTGCTTTTTTTTTCAGCGGCGTAGAAAAAACTAGGCGACGTCCTGGGACGGATACCCAAGCAATGATATCCGTCCGTGACTCGGTACGGATCGCACCCGAGCCTCACAGAGGTCCGTCCGAGGGTGTCGGGTTCGGATCGGAACCCCGCAAGTTGTGACTCTCCAAATCGTCCACGGCTATCTTACTCTGACTTGAATGATATCGACAAACAACACACATCAACTCGAAAAAAAAATAACCTAACAAAAGTGATTAGCAAGTTCGATTCAGATGCAAGGAACCTCGCCCTTGAACCCATTTGCTCACCCACCAGATCAATCCAACTCAAGTCAGCAACCACCACCTTCTCACCAAAGAAATTGGAATAACAACCATCAAAATCGGCGCGGACAACACCATCAACCGTATCGCTCCCAGAAGGTCTGTTCTTTCTTTCACCGGGATGTATGAATGTGGAAAAGAGTTCAAGCGGAGCGCTGATCTGTCTCATTGTAGAATCCTCGGATGCATAACACATTCAACAAAAACTCGCAGAGACAGAATTCTCATCATAATAATCAACAACTTAACAGAGGAGGAAATGAAACATGGTTCAAGACTTCAATGCTCCAAGACCCTTGGCTGCCGCTCTATCACAAATAGATCTCATACCTTGTGAACCACCGCTCAAACTATATCACCATCAATCAACTTGATTTCCTACTGACTCAGTGCATTGATGTTTTGTGCAACGGCTCTGGTAGATTAAATCACTTATATGTAAAAAACAATGAAAAACGGATGATGTTTTTCGATTTCTCCTGTTTTTTGTAGTTGTTGCCGTCATGCAATTCAGTCTTTGTACAGCTCGTTTACGTTAATCATCATTCGAGCTTTCCAACATTGGCCTTGATAACAGTCTGAATGCCATGCGAGTAAGGAGAATATACGGGAAGTCTAGCTGGATTTTCTATATCGACGATCGACAGCCTTGTGATGGCTGAACAGCAACCAGACTGATCAGCAACCATTTAAGGACGTTAAAGCTCATATGGGGGAAAAATGAAGTGTACTAAGATTTTGTTGTTCAAGGGAAATAGGATAACTCGGATGTCACCTTTTCGTAGTGTCCAGAAAAATGGACATGCGCTGCACTACCGAAACAAAAGACATTTGACCTGGTATAACTTTTTGTAGGGCTTCTGCGAGGCAAGGGACCTTGTATAATCTTCGTAAAATAGTCCAGTCGAAGCTCCAGTGACGCAGATGTCATCCCGACTTTTGGAGGATCCTGGGGTACAGCAAATCTCCTAACTATTCAATTTGTCTACGCCCGAAACTTCTGACCTACGATCAGAAGGAGAATGCTTCTATATAATCATCGTAGGTTCTGTTGGTATCTAGTACGAACTCCTATGAATGCGATCTGCTTGATGCCATGGCTTTTTAGGAGCAAAATTCCTGTACCCACGTGACAAAACATCTCCAGCAGACAAGCACGCACACAGGGCCGCTTAGAGGCTTGGCCGAGCTTGGCCGCATGGCACCGAAGCATGGCGCTTAGTTGCATATTTTCCTAAGTGTCGATTGGTTGTGGTCTTGCACAAGGTGGCAAATAAAGCTTACTGTGTGAAATACATGCGATGATGTTCTTATGACCTTACTTATGGAAGGCTAATGTTCAAAATTATCTCTGCCAATCAGCCTGGCGCCGGCGTTCCTGGAACTGAATGCCTGCCCTTCACTATTGATCTTAAAAATAGTATGGATAATCCTTGGTGATTCGGAAGCGTCTGGGGCTTTGTGTCACTATTAGTATTATCACTGGTTCTGATTTCAAGAAACTCGATCATTATTATTGTCTTTAAATCACTGGTTAAAAATACAACACGCCTGGGAACTCCGCTCTTGGGGTTTGGCTTCCTCATCATCGTGGGCTCGGGTTGGTATAGACAATGAGATAGTTTTCGTTCAATTTGGTCCCTCGTTTTTTTATTCGAGCTCCTGTGATTGTTTGAACTTGAATTGGTTTTTTGGCCAGTGGGTCGATGAGCATCAGCAAAGTCGTCAGTAATCGCCCCAAACAACTGTTTACGCACCATCCTCAAGATAAAATTCGAGGAATGCCGAAGTATTTCAAGCCTGAAGAGAAGAAATCGAATTCAAATCAGGATGGATGCAAATTTCAAGTGGAGATGATGCGGTCAAGTTCAACTCACCAGGCGCTTTAAAATGCGATGGCGGGGACAACCATGTTGGGGGCTTACTGCAAGCCCATGTCTTTAGTCAACTTCGGATGAATGGGAAGGAGAGAGCCGACTTACTTTTACCATTATCACAACACGATCTTTGAAGATCCTGCGGCAAGCCTGGGCAAGGAATGCCGTCTGAACGCGGTCGGTCGAATCCGTCTCGACCTCCACAAGCTCCCGGGAGTCTGTCGTTGATAGTAACAAGAAACAGGATCAGGCTGTAAAGCCCAAAGGTCCGCATGGTAGCGTGAGTAGCCAAAGCAGATTCTGATGGAAGGGTTTGTGGTGGTTTGGTGGGACTCAAGTGTGGACCGTTGCTAAAGCGCAGTGGTTTGTCAAAAAGAAAGCACCATGATGATTCTGTCCTAGTCAACCGACGCCGCCGCCACCGCTGCCACCTAGTATACATCCCCTCCGGCGCTCGGTATCAGATCAAGCTCTTCAGGCCTTCCATTTCCACTCATGAACCAATCAACCGACATCACGAAGGAGTACGTCGCAAGAGTCATCACACGTCTCGTCTCAAGCAAGACTTGAAATTTGAAATCAGCAGATTTGGCCATACTCTACAATGGTTTGGATGATGCTTGCAGAATTAATCCCATTAGTGGGTACCGAGTTTCAAAGAAGGGAGGTCATTTATAAAAACATCTCACGCATTGAGGATCTGCGTGTCCCGCGTCTCAAGTCTTGTGGCAGCTTGTGGCGTAACCGTTTCTAAGTATAAACTATGGTTTAGGAGCGCAATTCCTGTACCCACGGGACGAAACATTTCCAGTAGACAAGCGCGCACAAAGGGCCGCTTAGAGGCTTGGCCGCATGGCACCGAAGCATGGCGCTTGGTTGCATTTTTTCCTAAGTGTCTATTGGATGTGGTCTTGGACAAGGTGGCAAATAAAGCTTACTGTGTGGAATACATGCGGTGATGTTCTTATGACCTTACTTATGGAATGCTAATGCTCAAAATTATCTCTGCCAATCAGGCGTTACTGGAACTGAATGCCTGCCCTTCACTATTGATCTTAAAAATAGTATGGATCTTCCTTGGTAATTCGGAAGCGTATGGGGCATCGTGCCACTATTATCACTGGTTCTCATTTTTCAGAAACTAGATCATTGTCTTTGAATCACTGGTAAAAAAAATACAAGACGCCTGGGAACTCGTTTCTTGGGGTTTGGTTTTCTCATCATCGTGGGCTCGGATTGGGATAGACAATGAGATAGTTTTCGTTCAATTTGGCCCTTCGTTTTTTATTGGGGCCCCTGTAATTTGTTTAGAGCTGAATTTTCTATGCCAGTGGGTCAATGAGCAAAATCGTCAGGAATTGCGTCAAACAACTGTTCACGCACCATCCTCAAGATCAACTTCGAGGACCGCCGAAGTATATCAAACCTGAAGAAAAGAAATCGAATTCAAATCAGGATGCAAATACCAATTGGAGATGATGCGGTCAAGTTCAACTCACCATGCGCCTTCCAGATGGCAGGCCACCGTGGTGACAACCAGGTCTCGAGCTTACTAAAAGCCCACGTCTCTTGTCAACTTCGGACGAATGGGAAGGAAAGGGCCGACTTACTTTCACCATTATCACAACACCTTGCTTGCATACTCGGCGGCAAGCCTGGGCAGTAAGGGTTGTCTGAAGAGAAGGAAACAAAGGTCTACATAGTTAGCTTGAATCCAGTCACAGTTTTGGCTTGAGAGTGAGGTCCCAATTCCTGGGTTCAAATCCAATCCATCAATTGGGTCCGTTGGATTTGGTCTCATTATGATAGTTCGCAAATTCCTCTACCACAGCTCAACATAGTTATACTCTCAGGTAAGACATTAGGAAGATTGACTCCCTTACACGATACGTTTGTGGTAGAGGCTAATAATGAAGATGATAAAACTTGAGTCACAGCTACTCACGCGATCGGGAGCCCCCTCGTTCTTCACAAGCTTTCGGATCTCTGTCGCAATTTATAATCTCCCCCGCGCATAGCTTGATAGTGCCAAAAAACAGGATCAGAATTTGTAGCCCAAAGGTCCGCATGATGATGATTTTAGTTGTTTAGGATTTAATCGGTAGCGTGAGTAGTCAAAGCAGATTCTGATGGAAGGGTTTTAAGTGGTTTGGTGGGACTCAAGTGTGGACAGTGGCTACATAAAGCGCATTGGTTTGTCAAAAAGAAAGCGCCATGATGAAACTGACGCCGCCGCCACCGCTGCCATCGGGTCATACATAGTATACAGTTGCGGACGGCAAAAACCGACCCTGGATTTTCAGGATGTCCGAATAGTCGGGCCAAAAATTTCAGATTTTTTTTGAAATTTTCAGCCTTTTGAGCTGTTTGTAGCCTCCAGAGTGTAGAAAAAATACACTAGAATAGTAGATTAACAGTGAAAGTAGATGGTGAGGGTGTACAAGTAGTATAAAACCATATTTATGTATCACTTAAAGCCATAACTATGGGTTTAAGTATGGCTTAATCTGTGCATGTCCGATTATATGTATGTGGAAATGAAAAAAAAAATGAACCACTCACTCAAAACCTTAGTGATTACAATTTTGAACTCTACACATCTGTAGAAGTTCAAAAATGTAATAAAATTAAGTATCAGGGCACATGCCCCCCGGGGCATAGGCCCCGCGTGTCCAATTTGGATTTTGCGGGCGGGGCATGGTCGGTCTATGCCGTACGCAACTGTACATCCCCTCCGGCGCTCGGCACGTGGCATCACTCAAGGTCTTCCATTTCCATTCATGAACCAATCAACCGACATCACGAAGGAGCACGTCGCAATAGCCATCACACGTCTCTGCTCAAGCAAGATCTTGAAGTTGAAATCAGCAGATTCAGCCGGACTCTACAGTGATTTTGATGATGCTTACAGAATTGGAGGACTTCCCGTCGTTTAAATTTGTAAATTTACAAGGACTGGCTAAACCTTGTTGGCTGGTGAAAATCATTCGACCTCAAGATTTCACCAGCAAACAAAGTTTAGCCGGTCCGTCTAAATTAAGCCATCTGGTCGACGAGAAGTCCTCCATTATTGCCATTAAATTTAGGTGATGCAGAGTTTCGAAGAGCGGAGGTCATTTACATATAAAAACAATTCACGCATTGAGGATTTGTGTTCGCACCTCACGCGGGAATCTCGGGGAATGAAGGAGGAAGAGAGATAGATTCCATGTCGTCCTGCCTCGGATCTGCATCCGAGGCAGATATATATATGGACTGCGGCAAGTCTAAGGGCTCGTAACCCTCTCTGGGTTACAACACCCCCCCTCTCGCCGCAGACCCATATCTACGTACAAAATAAGAAGTCTTAGGCAAAAAAATTACTTTATAACAACGGAAAGAAAAAATTAATAAAAAAGCAAAAAAATCAGGTTGTTCCCATAACCCTGCACTTCAGTGATTCGAAAATTTCTGGCGTAAGACATTTAGTGAAAATGTCTGCCAGCTGGTTTTTGGTCCCTATCCAATTGACCGTGGTCTTCTTTTGGAAAAGAGCTTCGTTGGCTATGTAAAAATCTCTGTCAGTATGTCTTGTGCGCTTGTTTGACGCATCATCAGTGGCTACTCTAATAGGTCGCAGTACATGTGTCCCGTAAAATCCATTTTAAGCACATCTTTCAGTAAATGGAGGACTTCCCGTCGATCTGGAACCCTTGATTTGGAAGGTCTAATCCTAGATCCCAAACTCAATTTGGTGAAGAGAATCAAGTGACATTGACTTCTCATCAGCAAACAAGATTTGGAATCTGGCTTTAGGAAGGCTAAATCTAGGATCCCAGACCGACGGGAAGTCCTCCAATGTCTTACCCACAAAGTTTGTCTTGTCGCCACCCCCAGTGCCATGTATTCTGCATGGCAGGTGGACGACGCTACTGACTGCTGCCTTCTCGATACCCACAGGATTGGGCAATTGAGGTAAGTCGCCAGAATGCCATATGATGACCGGGAGAATTCTCCTCCCCACGATGCATTGCAAAAGCATTTGAGCAGTTCTGAGTCAACTGTGGGAAAAAGATTTAGTTTGGTTTCACGCGAACCCGCAAGGTAGTTAATCAAATGGGTGAGGCCTTTCCAATGCGTCAACCCGGGTTTCGCAGAAAACCTCGCTAGGTAATTTACTGCACAAGCAACATCCGGTCTTGTCCCAACAGCAAGTTAACTGAGTGATCCAATGATTGATAGATACCTGGTTGATTTACTTTCATCTCCATCGGGATCAGTCACTGCATTGAAACCGGAGGGAAGAGGTGTCCGCGCAATTGTGCATCCGTCCCACTCCGCATCAAGGATGCCATTGACAAGCGACTGTTGACCAAGTGTAAAGCCTGCAGTACTGCGGACCACGTCTAGACCTACAATTGAAGTTAGCTTGTCAGACCATTTGATCTTAAGTAGGTCTTTCAAATCAGCTTCTAATCTCCGTATTAGTTTTTCGGATGATGCTGTCATGACACCATCATCCACGTGCAGCCATACTACACCCAGCTCATCAGGGTGCCTAAGGATGTACAGACTGTTGTTGTACTGCGAAGGTGAGTATCCAAATTTGTCCAGAAGGTTCTTCAGGTGTAACCACCAGCAACGTGCTGCCTGTCTGGTGCCGTACAGTGCTTTCTTCAGAAGTAGTCCATGGTCCTTAGGTATGTTCATCCCTTCAGGCGGTTTGACCCAGACCTCTTCGCCTATGTTGGAGTTAAGGTAAGCTGCTGCGAAATCAAAATTGTGTACAGGCCACTTATTTGCTGCTGAGATTGTCAGTAGTAAACGTAGGGAAACAAAGGTTGCAGTTGGAGCAAAAGTTTCATTAAAGTCTTTGCCGGCTGTCTGCAAGAAACCTTTTGCCACGTAACACGCTTTGAAACACACTCCTGACCCGTCTATATCTGGCTTTGTTGCAAATACCCATCTGCCGCCCAGTTCTTTCTTGTCGGAGGGCTTAAGAAGAAGTTCCCACACACGCATTTGCTCCAGGTTTGACTGCTTGACTGCAATCACTTTTGACCACACGTCCTTCTCGTCTGACTTCATTGCCTGTTTGAAAGTTCTGGGAACTGTTATTGAGTAAAATTCACACATCTCAATGATTTTATCAACGATCAGTTCCTGGTTAGTAAATTCAATTTCATTAGAGAAGTCGCCAAGCTGCATAAGATTCATAATGAAATCAAGTGACAGTTTTTCATTCTGTTTAGGCCGGTCTTTGAGGACACAGTCTGGGACTTGCTTGTCTATTACCTGTGTTGGCTTGTCGACTGGAAGATTGTTGGGGAACCTGACCATGGCCGAGACCGCATATGTGTTGTCCTCTGGAATCCAGAATAGCCAACCCTTGCTGTCTTCAAGATGTCCAATCATGTGCGCTCTGATAGCTCTCGGTTCCAAACGTAGTTTCTTCTCTAAAGGGATGTGAATGAAACAGATTTGCCCAAAAACGCGGAAGCCGTCATACCTGGGTTTGACATGAAACATACCCTCGTAGGGCGTCACATCCCCACTTGCCTTATTCTGGATCCGATTCAAAACGTGGTTCGCCCACAGGAAAGCATAAGACCAGAATTCCTTTGGTAAGGCACTGTCAATCAAGATCGTCCTGCCCATGTCCTGGATTGTGCAATTATATCGCTCTATCATCCCGTTCTGGTAATGATGGTAAGGCAGTGACTTCTCGGCCCAAATACCATGCTTTGGCAGAAAATCCTCTAGAACCTTGTTTGTGAATTCCCCACCATTGTCGCTCCTAAGTGCCTTGAGTTTCCTGCCTGTCACATTCTCTAAACGTGTAATGATGTCAATAAGTTGCTTGTTTGCGTCAGACTTTGCGGCTAGTACTTTAGCAAAAGCATAACCCGTTGCCTCATCGCGTAGGGTTAGGATATATTTTCCTCCATCCACGGATGGTACTTCAAAAGGACCAATTAGGTCAGCTGCCATGACATCCATTTGTTCTACTGGTCGGTACAATGGTGCTAAAGGGTTTACTCTGGTACTCTTACTGATCGCGCAAACAGGGCAGTGAATCTTTCCCACTGGTAGATCAGTCGGCAGACCATGCCCTAGTTTTAGCTTGATAAGCCGCCGGATATGGCGCAGGCTCGCATGCCCAAAAACCCGATGCCAGAAAAGGAGAGTCACCTCATCCTGAGAGAGTTACTCCGGTTTCCACTGATAGTTGGTGGTCTTTCCAATAGGTTCTTTGAAAATCTCACTCGCGGGACAGCTTTGGAGGCAAAAATTGATATTGGTTCATTGTCATGTAAAACAGTAGGAAGGGTATGATCATTAGGGGAAGACAAGACCGAGACAGAAGGAAAGATGGTTTTAGCAGCAACGCCAGAGGATAGGAAACAGAAGAGGAAACGTGATGGGCTGTGATAGGACTGTTGTTACTGGGGGAAGACAACACTGCCTTGGAGGAATGGTCGGTGTCCGCCCTTATCATAGGATACGGCATGCACCATCGATTCTTTTTCCGTTCGAACGGGCAGCTGAATAAATGAGCACTGTTAGGATGGAAGATCTGAAAAGCTTCTTGAGAGTTGTCATAGTGGACAGTTGCATTAGCTTTCCTTAAAGCATCCATGGATATAAGGGTGGTTCTGGCGTGCTCACAGTAGAGAACGTGTTTCAGGACAATCACCTGGCAATCAGGGCCCTGGAATTTTAAGTCGCCGATCCCAGTGATTTTGGCTCCACCACCTTTGGTAGCTACTGATACCGGAATCGGTTTGGAGAGATAACAAAAAGAGTGGAGAAGGGATTTAGATCCGGTGAAACCATGAGAGGCTCCGGTATCAAAAACTGCAGGTTCACTCACGATATCTTCGCCCAACGACATGGTGCAAAAATCCAAGTCGTCCAAATCATCTGGCAGCGCCCCGATTTCCAAGACTTGAGACGATACCCCCCCAGGCTTTGCGGATGGCGTGCTGTTGGGCCGTTGTTGCTGTGAAGGCGGTTGTCCATGTTGAGTGTACCAAAGCTGAGTAATTTGGGAACTGTGCCGATGTGACCTGGAAACCGCTGGGTAACTGACCGTAGATTGTCCCGAATAAAGTTCCGATCGCCTGACCCCTCTGATTTCCCGGAGTCAGTGACCGGCCCTTCTGAGGACAATCCCGTTGGTAGTGGTTCTCGCCACCGCAGCCCCAGCACCTTGCCGCTGTGAGAGCGTAGAAGTCAAGCGCGTCCCTCCAGTCCTCCTGGTCAACACCTGTCAGGAACATTGAAGCGTCCCAATCTTCATCCCGGCTGACGGAAGTGATGAGCGCTTTCGGGTTGAAAGGGGTGTTGGTTGGCTGCTGGAGTTGGTCCGATGCTTGAAGGTGTTGCTGGCGACAAACATCGTAGGCATTGCAGATGAAAGCAAAACTGGGGTATGCTCCGTCAGCATCGAGCTGCACGGCGTTCTCAATCCGATTTTCGAAGTCTGTCCTGTAAGGGGCTCCGGATTGCATGACTGCTGCTTGCAGGATAAAACCAAGGAAGGAGTCGCTACGACAACTGATGTTGACCTATCGCCATTCCGAGTAGAGATCAAGGAGTGCTGCCGCCACGCCTGCACTGGGAGTCGAGGGGTCCACCTTGAAAGCCATGAAACGTCGCCAGATGTTCATTTGAGCTGCTCTTGAGACCGTCTTGAACTTCTTCTTGAGGGAAAGATACATATTGTGAGCAGTATCCAATGAGTGTAGGTCAGGGACGAGTGAGTTGTGAATGCTCGCAATCATGACTGCCCTACCAATCCTTTCAAAAGTCCTATTGGTGCTTGGTTCGAAGAAGAAATTCGCGCCAGACAGACCCGTCTGAGACACTTCTTTCAGTCCTCGCATCCATTGAGAGAAGTTCGCCCCGTCCGGCTCCAGGATACATTCCTTTTTGAAAGCCGTGACAAGGGAAGCAACGGTCGAAGACACCATTTTGTTCTGCTTGAGTCGGAATTTGGCTAGGCGGAAGTCTCTCTCGTCATCTGTCTCGTCGATTGCTGGCGCGACAGCTGCTTGAGGCCTGGTGGTGGACGTATTTGGCGGAACGAGGGAAGGGACAGTGGTGGACGAATGTTGGGAAAGGTGTGGGGGAAGGTGTTTTGGTTGTGAGTGGGAAATGGTGGGAATAGGTTTGGGGTGTTGGTGGCTGGTCGAACCGAGTGGTTCTGTCACAGCGCGTTCTTTGCCTTTGTGCGCTGCTGACAAGGACTGCAGCACATTGCTTGGTTTGATGGTTTTATCCCTGGCGTGATGACCTTTTTCCCCGGACATCACGGAGTCAAAAAGATTTCCCATCCTGCGTTCACCGTCAGGTTGATAGTCCTCCACATCGCTCAGGGAGTTATGCGAGTGGGTAGACCCGGCCAGGCTGGTTCGGCGATCAGAGTTCATGGTGGGAAAGGGAAGAATATGGAACGGAAGCAGAAGGGAAGGAAAAAAAAATCGGAACAGAAGTAGAAGATTTTAGTTTGAAAGAGAAAAAAAGAAGGGGGGAAAGATAAGAAAAAAAGGATATACAGGGATTAATGGGAAGTAGAAGATTGTGAGGGACGAGAAAAGTGAGGTGATAAGGAAATATTTTTAGGTTCGGAAGGTGCGGATATAGGAAAAGGATATAGTGAAAAACAAAAGAAAAAAAAACGATGTCTGTCGTTTCGTACTGTACGGCGTTGGAGGTTATGCCAATAACCCCAACTTCCTCAGATGGCTAGTCTGAGTAGCCCTTCAGTAACCCGCTATGTCAATCGGTACAAAAGGTTTTGTGAGAGAGGGAGAGAAAAAACACTGAGAAAAACAATTGAAAAGCGGACAAGAAGGAGGAAACCAGATAGTCGGTTAGAGTTTTCTGGGTTGGGATATGTCTGTTGATTAGGACAAAACACAGTTGGAGGGATGAGAGTAGATGGCGATATATCAAAATTAGATGGTATCTAGGTTCTATGATTAGTAGAGAATGATCTACAAGGTACCCTTTGAGTAGCGTCAAAGGCTCATAACCTGTTCACACCTCACGTGGGAATCTTGGGGAATGAAGGAGGAAGAGAGATAGATTCCATGTCGTCCTGCCTCGGATCTGCATCCAAGGCAGATATATATATGGACTGCGGCGAGTCTAAGGGCTCGTAACCCTCTCTGGGTTACAACAATTTGTGTGTTCCACGTCTAAACTCTTGTGGCGTAACCGTTTCTAAGTATACAGTTGCGAACGTCATTAACCGACCACATTTTTTTTTGGGTCTGGACGGTGTGGTGTGCTGTGCCTGTTCCAATGCCAAAAGCATACAGCAGAGGTGTTGGGATAGCATAGGTACATACATGTGACAATCATTACAAGAGAAGGAACAATCATTATGGATGAGGTGTGGTATATACGGACAGGATTACATACAATGTGTCAGCTCTGGTCTCTTATGTGACCTAGAGTTGATAGGGTTTTTGGGTCACACTATAGCCAAGAGGGCCAGTGGAAATAAAGTCCAACTCTACACTGATACAGTGGAGGGACTAGCTCCTTATAAGAATAAGGGACAGCTGTGGAATGAGCCTCACAGTGCCTGAGCTTAAGATAATAAGAAGAATAGAGTTGTGCTAGTCTTATAAGTTAATAAGGTAACTTATAAAGACTAGTAATGAGATAAAGGAAAATGTACAACAAGTTTATGTAGATAATATATTACTAAAAAACCCCACTCACTAAGTGTATGTTTTAGTAAGGTAGTTGGGTTGGTATGGTAATATTGTCTGGGGGATGAATCTCAGGGGGAGAGGCATCCTCTTAAATATTACAGAGCAGGGGTCAATTCTGCTGCTGGGACCGGTGCAGTCCCCTTATTGTTACACTTTTCCTTGGGGGAAAGTGTCAGGATATTCAGAGCATGATAAATGTACATGTGTTGAATATCTTTTATTTCAGAAAATACCATAAGAGAGATAAACATAATAAACATACACACAAGAGAGGTAAATTGGATAATCATCTCTTGGATACACCCAGGAGATAATTATCCTTTTCAACTTGATTATAATTTTCATACAAGAGGTAAATTAATAAAGAGGTGAATCTTTATTAATTTACAGAATAATTATTAACATAAAAAATACATGTAAAAAGGGATAACATTACTTAATAATTATTAACTTAAAGATTACACATAATAATAATTGTTATGTAACCCAAGGGGTTACATTCTATTGTAGACACCTGGGCTAGTGTCTCAGTGTCTGACATTCGCCCCCACCAAAAGGAAAATTCCATCAGGAATTTTTCGACCTTTTGGTAGCTCTAAATCTTCTTAACAAGACTTGACAGTTGTCTATCTTTTCAGACTCTAGCCACAAGTCTTGATCAGGTTGACAATCTTTAAACCTTACTAAGTACAACTTGCAGTCTTTTCCATTTTTTCTTACAATTTTTTCTTTCAAGATTTTTGCCGCAGTTTTTGGTACGGTATCATCTGTCATGGGAGGAGCAATGGCTTCATTAGATGACCGGTCAAAACTACTATCTTGTACAATGTACTTTTTGCAAAGACTTATAGGAAAAGTAGGATGTCTTTGACTAAATTCTTCTGTCAAAATAACTTCAACAGCGTTTCTACCGTGAAATCCTTTAATAACAAATGGTCCTATGAAAGCATCTTTTAGTTTTCGAGGTCCTGCTAAGTTATTGAAATTTACTGTAGAGATAAGAACTAAGTCACCAACTTTCAAATCATGGTCTCTATGAGTTTTATCCCACCTTTCCTTGTTATACTCAGCAGCTTCTTTTACACAGAGTGCAGCTTTTTCTTCTGCTTGGAACATCATTTTTTGAAAGCACTCTGAACTGGGGTGCAATTCAATTGTCTTGGAAAGCAGAAAGTCTTTCGGCATATGTGGAATCCATCCTCTCTCAAGTTCAAAAGGAGTCATGCCCGTGACAGAATGTTTACTGGAATTGTAAGCAAATTCTAGTGCTGGTAAAAGAGAAACCCAGTCATGAGTGTAACCATCACTAGTCTTGAAATCAATTCCGTACGCGCAATATCTCCTGATCATGTCTTCAAGAGTTTGGATCATTCTTTCTGCTAGCCCATCAGTTTGAGGGTGATAAGCTGTAGAAAAGGCTAACTTAGTGCCTAAAATTTCAAACAGATTTTGCCAAAAGTCTGATGTAAATTTTGGATCTCTGTCACTGATGATGATTCTTGGACATCCAACATCACTGACAATATTATTCCAGAATATAAGTGCTATATCCATTGCACTACTGTCTTTATAGCAAGGCAAGAATCTTGCTCGTTTGGAAAATCTATCACAGACTACTAACACAGCATTATAGTTCTCTGGTCCTGCTGCAGGAAGCGCTGTAACAAAGTCCATATTGATGATTTCCCATCTTGACTTTGGCTCATCGATTGTTTGTAACAAGCCAAATCTTTTTCCTGTAGCTTTATTGGCTTTTTGACACCTGTCGCAAGAATCACAGTAATCTGACACTTGATTTTTCCAATCTGGCCACCAAGCCAGACCCTGGACTCTATTCAGAGTCCTTTCTTTTGAAAAGTGGCCAGAAGTGATACTATCATGGCATTCATTCAAAATGATACTGATGTGACTGGGATCAATAAGCACTACTGAGGAGTTGTGTTCACGTCTGTGGTACAACAATTTGTCTAACAACACAAATCTGTTTTCTAAGAAATGCTTTTTCCAAATTCCTTCAAGTCCTTCAACTAGACCTTTATCTGGGTAAGGTGACTTAAGTAATTTGACTAAAATTACGGTGTTCTTGTTAGATTCATAGCTTTTTTCTATCAATTCCCAAAAGGAGGATGACAATCCAGATATGGAAATAGCCATGATAGGATTAGTGTCAACAAAAGACTCTTTTTCAAAAGCTGGATTGTCCTCATCATTTGGTAAAGCCCAATGTGCAAGACACTCAGACATTCTCATGTTAAAAGGCAAAATATCCAGAACTGGTGAACCTGTTTCAGCTTCTTCAGCATCATAAGCAGGATTACTAGGGTCATTTGGCAAAGCCCATCTAGAAAGTCCGTCTGCATTTTTATGCACTATGCCTTCTCTGTGAACAATTGTCATAGATCCTCTCCATTCTTGGATAGCAATTTGCCAACGGAGCATATGCCTATTGGGCGTCTTCATGTTTAATAAAGACCTAAGTGCATTACAATCTGTGATGACATCAAACTCACAACCATCCAGATAGTAATACAACTTATCCAAGGCCCACACTAGACAAAGACATTCAAGTTGAGAAGCACCGTACTTCTTCTCAGAATCTTTGAGTTGTCTTGAAATGAAACAAATTGGTCCTTCTACAGGTTTGTCATTGATGGTTTGTACTTGATGCAAAGCTGCACCAATACCTTCCATGCACGCATCAACATATAATTTAAACCTTTCTTTTGGATCAGGGTGAAACAATAGGGGAGCATTTGTTAAAGCAAATTTAAGCGACTCATAAGCTTCAACTCTTTCAGCAGTCATCTCAAATACTACACTGGGGCTACAGAGTTTATAAAGACTAGAGGCCATTGACCCAAAATTCTTTATATGCAACCTATAGTATCCAGCAAAACCAAGGAACATTTGCATTTCCTTGACATTTTGAGGTGTAGGTTTGAGCAACACTGCTGCTACTCTGTGTTTGTCAATTCCTAAAGACAAACCACTTACTATATGTCCCAAAGCCTTTAGCTCTGAAAATCCAAACTGGCACTTAGCCAGTGAAATTTTCATATTCATATTGATGACTTTATTTAGCACTGTACTTAACCTATCTAAGTGGTCATTCCAATTATCTGAGAAAATAATAATGTCATCTATATAAATAATGAGCCACAATTGGCTTAGCTCATTTGCAAATTCTGTGTCCATCATTCTTTGAAAGTGAGATGGCGCATTTTTTATGCCAAAAGGCATCCTCAGATATTCATAGATACCAAGATGACAGACTATTCTCAAGAATTGTCTGCTATCTTTATGAATAACATTTTGATGGAATCCTTTGAGTACATCCATACAAGTAACATATTTTGCTTTATGTAATTTACTCAAAGATTCCATTATTTTAGGCATAGGGTACCTATCAGGATTAGTGTAGCTGTTCAAAGCTCTGAAGTCACCAACAAGTCTAGATTTATTATTATGCCAAGCAATTATTACCGGAGTGGTAATATTCACATTCTCATTTGCTCCTACCTTTCTAATGACTTTCAGCTTAAGTAAAGCTTCTATATGTTCGGCTAAAGCTTCTCTGCTCCTTGGACTAGCCGGATAAGGTGCTTTTCTTAAGATTGGTGGGTATGGTTAATCAATGTTCAAAGTCAACTTCACTTCATGACCTCTGATTGCACCAAAGGGCTCTTCCACTGTAGCAAAAGCCT